TAATCGGTTTACAGAGTCAGCCTCTTGCCCTCAACAATCTGGCCCCACGTTTTATCAACCTCTAAAAGGATGGAAGGCTGAATCAACCTTGAGCTGGTCAGGATCGAACTCTTGGCTGTAGGCAGAATAAGCCTGCAATACTGCACTCTATCCACTGTGCCACCAGGGCTCTTGGAATTCCATCCCTTGACCGCCGGCCTGCATTTATGACTGCGGGGGGCACTTCAGCTGTCCCCAGCCCAGCCTTTGGGCTGCCCTGCACACTGGTCAACCTGGACTCGGCTGCTTCCACCACCCATCCACCCACCCCCCCCCCCCACACACAAACACACTGTTTGGCATCACTTTGGCCTTGACCATCCACATCCTCCCCATTCTTCCTTCAGGCTCTGCTGCTTCTCCAGTTTCTCCTACTCCTTTTCTCCCTGGTGTTGCTTTCACTTGGCATTGCTCCGTCCATTAGCTCCACTGTCTTCTGGGCCTTGTCTACTACCACGACGTCTCGTTGATTGGCCACTGCCTACCTGTCTGTGTGGATCCGGAAGTCCCACGGGATCTTAGCTTTCTTATTCTCCAGGATCTTCTGTGGGTTCTCCCATTTAGACTCAGGAGGGTCCGGCCCATATTCTATACAGATGTTCCTTCACCCAATGCCAGCTACTTGGACTGTCTCTGAGGCCTCTCTGCACAGCCTTGGATCCTGTCTAGTGTGAAGACCTCTCCTTCTAGGGATCTGGTGCTTAACGCCTGTTCTTGTGCTAATGTCATCAGAGCCTCAGTCCTCTCTTTAAGCCCAGCCCTCTCCAGCCACTGGTAGCATTTTCCCAATGTCTGCCATTTCGGCCCTCTGTCGATGGTACGTTCCAGGCCGGTTCTCATCTGGCCATGGCATGCCTTCCGCCTGACCTTCCTCCCACTCGCATCTGCTGCTGCCTCAGGTGCTCTCTCCGCAGCTCCTCTTTGGGTGCCATCTTAACTGATGTCCTCTGGACGCCCCGGGTTTCACCCAGGACAGCGGCCTTGACGCTGACCAGACCCTGACCTCCATACAATGTGCAATCCTCCATACGTTGTGAACAGCTTGCAGGTCTTCACACCAGCAGCTTCCAGGTCTTTCTCTGGCCAATTCATTATACCGGTAGGGTATCTGATGACTCTTCTCTCATTTGTGTTCCCAGGTATCATCAGATTGTCCTGGTTCCTCAACATCTGATGAAGGCCTTGTAAATCCAGCATGGCTCTCCTATTTTGGGACACTCTCACGTTTTAAGGTGGGTAGGTGAAGCCTTGGGGGGGGGGTCTTTGCTGGTAAGGCAGATAGCAGCCAGGATTTGAAACCCAGTCTCCCACACCAAAGGCAACACTTTAAACACTACAATATCCAGTCCTGGGAAAGAGGAAATGGCAAGTCGCTTCTGGAAAAACCTTGTCTAGAAAATTGTAGGGGTGGTACAGTTCAACTCCCAGAGACTCCCTTCTCCAATTTCCCCTTTTAGAATTTTTTGCAAAAATGCCAACATTGGGCTGAAAACAATCCCCAAACTGATTTCAAGCAATGACAGGGGGGGAATTAAGCAAATTTAATATCAAAACACATATACACCACGCTGCCAGAACAAGCAAAGACAAGACCCAACCATTTCAGAAATCACACATAAATTGTTTTTCTGCTCAAATGCAGGCAGAAGAAAGACCTGCCAAACAGAACCCATACAAAATCAGAATTTGCCTATCGCCTCTATTCTCCATTTGAGGAAGGCAGAACTTTTTCATATCAGAGGTCCAACTGCTCCCTATGCCAAGAGCCTTTGGCTTTTACCAATCTGTCCCACCTGCCTTCAACTAAGACCTATTAAAGCTTCTGCGTTTTGTTCAGATTTTACCACAGAATTACAGCTGCACACACTTGACTCTTCCTTTCCAGCATCAAGAACCTGAACCAATTAAAATTGCACAGAGGTTGGTATTTCTTTAACGTCCCCGGACACAGGCAGTCCCCTTTACATCTCTCCTCTCGGATGGAAATCCAAAGAGCAGAGATAGCAACAGCACTAGCACTTAGACATATATCAAGCCCTGGTCTCTAAGCACTTTACAGAATCAGCCTCTTGCCCCCAACAATCGGGGTCCTCATTTTACCCACCTCAGAAGGATGGAAGGCTGAGTCAACCTCGAGCCGATCAGGATCGAACTGCTGGCATTGAGCAGTGAGTCAGCCTGCAACCCTGCATTCTAACCACTGTGCCATCACGGCTCCTATGCACATGTCCCCAACCAACATGCATTGTAGCTTCTTTGCCAACTGACAAACACCGGTCTTCGAATTCATGGAATGCTTGAGCCTCTCAATAGCCAACAACATTCTGTCCAAGAGACACAAGGATCCCCCGTGATCAGAAAGGCTGGCACTGCATGCGCCAAGGAGGCACTCCCCACGATCCCAGCTGTCCAAAGGCTGTGGGGGGAGGGGGGCTTTGCTTCGGACCAGGAAAAACCTTTCTACCCTTCCATCTGGCTTTGGGCCAGGAGAGATCAAGCTGGAAAGAAAGAAACCTGTCAGTCAGCTAATGCTAGCAAGCACACCAATTCCCTCAGCCCAGCTGAGTCTGCTGCTATTCAACCCTGGAAGAAATCAACCTCACCTCTTATCTTCAAAAGGGCTGTGGGATAATGTTGGGCAGTTCCCCTGCTTGTCTGCTTGGCTTGTTTTCCAGGATGCCCTGATCTCTTTTTCCCTTTCCCACAACCGTTTCGCTTCCACAGCATTTTGCCTTTCCCAGAAACCCTGTGGGTTCCCTCGAGTGGGCAGTCAAAGGTGCCTAAGCTCCCATTTCCCCAACCCAGGAAATACCACTTGACCCTGGCGGCATATCATGGCATCCATACCTTTAAGCATTTGCCAGGTCTCCTTTGCAGCCTAGAACTGGCTGCATCAATTTTTCTGAACAAAACCAAGTCCCCACCCATCCCAGGAGGCCAGAAAAACCTCGTTTTTTTAATTACAACATTTGAAAATCCACAAAGAAGTTACTTTCTCAAAAACCTCAACAAAACATGTCAGGTTTCACAGAATGGGGCAACTTGCCGCAGCCAACTTGTCATAGCCGTTTTGCCACGATAAATTCACTGCGGCCAAATCGCCATGGCCAACTCACTGACCATGTTGAGCTGGCTGTGGCGAATTGGCCGTGGCGAGTTGTCCTAGGCCCCTAAGACTTCCAGTACCTTTACTTAGCTAGTTCTACCACAATTGCTATCAGCTTGAAAGATGTCATCACTGCAGATCTCCTATGAGAAGTTAAGATGGCTGTATTTCATATTATTTGTGCAGGACGTATACGGCCTGGACAACTGGAGTTGTTCTTGGCAAATCTCATTAACCAAATTGACGTTCTTATGCTGTTTTTAACTGTACTGACTTTCTTGCTGAAACCTCAGCCTGGAATTCCGCCTCTTGGTTCCTACTTTGCAAGGCTGCCCATTTCTGCCCACATTACTTCTGTAGGCCATGCAAAAGGGCTTCCTGGACAGTAGCCCCAGCATGGAAAAGGTCTTCTTGGCATCCACTTTCCTGCTGAATGAAGCAGGTGCAAGGAAGGCCTTTATTCTGGGGCTTTTAAATGGGTTTAACGCCTTTCCTGCCTCCTCTCTTAATGATGCACAATGTTTTGTTAAGCTTCCTCGACAAGGATAATAATTTTATTTCCATATGTAAATCTTGAAAGTGAAATCAAAGCTACTTTGGGGGGGGGGGGGCAACGTTGGAAACAGGTTCAGAACATCCAGGCTTCTTCCACACGGGCTCTGCGCCCCAACTTTCTTCTGCTCTTTCAAAGGCCTCCTAGCTGGAACCTCCCTCTTGCCTGATATGATAGCACTGAAGGCATTTCCAAAATTTCCCCCTCTTACCCCTTTATGTCTTTTCAGTGCTCTGTATTTTATAATTGCTGCCTTCTGAGGAATTATTGAGTCTGTCATCTGCACCTCTATAGCTGTCTGGTTTGGCTCTGCAACCCAACAGGGCAGACACAGACTTCAGAAGATAATTAGGACTGCAGAAAAAACAATTACTACCCACCTGCCTTCCATCGAGGACCTGTATACTGCACGAGTCAAAAAGAGGGCTGTGAAAATATTTACAGACCCCTCACATCCTGGACATAAACTGTTTCAACTCCTTCCCTCAAAACGACGCTATAAAGCACTGCACACCAGAACAACTAGACACAAGGAGAGTTTTTTCCCAAATGCCATCACTCCACTAAACAAATAATTCCCTCAACCCTGTTCAACTATTACAAAGTCTGCACTACTATTACTGTTAATCTTGTCATCACTCCTTATCACCCATCCCCTCCCACTTGTGCTTGTAGGACTGTAACTTTGTCACTTGTATCCTTAACGATTTTTATTGACTGTTTCCTCGTATGATTTGATTGCTTATTTGTACCCTATGACAATTGTTAAGTGTTGCACCTGATGATTCTCGACTCTTGACGAATGTCTCTTTTCTTTTTATGTACACTGAGAGCATTTTGCACTGAAGACAAATTCCTTGTGTGTCCAACCACACTTGGCCATTAAAGAATTCTATTCCATTCTGTTCTGTTCTTTTATTTAGCTTCCTGAATCAAGGCAATTTAAACCTGCAAAAGTGATGGGGGAGGGAGGGTCTTAATTCTACCCCCTGCCCAGAGAGGGGCAGCCAATCCCTCTCATCCATCAGGTGCTCCTCTATTTGGGGACAAGGGCTGCAGCCACCCGGCCGAAGCAAAGAGGAGCCTCTGCTCATTTGGAAGGAGCCACTTGGGGAAAGGACAGCTACGGATGGTCCTCTAGGTCAAAAACGTCTGGAACGGGAAGGAGTTTCCCAGAGGCCTTGCACTGAACCTCTCCAGGTCCCTGGACATTCTGGGAAGGACCCAAGTCACTCCAGGCCCCCAAAGGTCATCTCCTACCGTGACGCCAAGCTCAAGTCCGGATCGTTCTGCACAACTCACCCTGTCCCACTTTCATGATGATCTTCATGGAGCGTGTTTGGCACACTCCGCCTTCTCTGTTCTCCAAGCCCTCGAGGGACCCATTGGACGTGGCTGCAAGGAGAGAAGAAAAAGGCATGAGGGCTGTGGAAAGCCAGGAGGCGCACAAGAAGCAAGGTGACCGGTGAGCCTGAGGGCCTCCCCCCTGCCCAGGGCTGCCATCAGGGGAAGATTCCTCCACGCAGATAGGCTTGTTCTGATCCAGAGCGGCCCAACACGGTGGTCATTCCCTCTTTAAAGCTCTGAAACTGATCCAAGAGGGAGAAAGTGGGAGGGAAACTCCATCTAGACCAGAGGTCTCCGAACTTGGCCACTTTGAGACTTGTGGACTTCAACTCCCAGAATTCTCCAGCCAGCATAGCTGGCAAGTTTGGAGACCTCTGGGATGGGATCTCCTGCTCCATCTCCAAAGTCCCCCCCAGCCAACTCTGTTATTCTGGGCTGAGAGTCCTTCTCCTTGGCGGTTGTCCACTTGGTGGCCTTTGTCCCTCTCCCTAAGGTCGCACTGCCCACAAGAGAAGCTGCTCTTTTAAACTTGGCGAGCCAGGCGGATCCTAAAGAGGAATCCCAACGCCTGTTTGCTGGCCCCCAAACCTGTCGCACAGGACCCACGGCAGGCAGTTTGTGCAGATCTCCAGGGCTGCTTTGCTGGCTGGAGAATTCTGGGAGTTGAAGTCCACCAGTCCACCAGTCAGTCTTAAAGTGGCCAAGGTTGGAGACCTCTGGTCTAGAGTTACTCCTGCCGCCCCCACTCTGCCAAGAGGATGCCAGTTCTACAGGGGGAGGTTGGACCAGCCCTGCCCAAAGCGGCTGCTGGTTCCTAGAGCCTCAGCATCCCCCCCCAGCTGAGCGGCCCCAGGTTTAGTTATTTATTTGATGACATTTATATGTGCAGCCCCATCGTGTCCGGACACGACTCCCAGCAGCTGACAAACGATAAAAAACTGCGCTGAAATAAAGCCAAAAATGACAACGGTGACAGAGGCTGTTCCAAAGGCGTTGGAGGGGAGGGGGACACAAAATGCAGAGGTGGGTCTCTTTCTAATCCAGGAGCCTCCTCCAGAATGGGACACACCTTTGGGCCCGCTGAGCAGATCTCCCGAGATTGGGAGAAAGGTGACCCTTCCCATTATGGGGACCCTGCTTGCCCCACTCATGGTGCCGGAAGCCCCACACACACACACATACACACAGAACCTTCAGCCACCCCCTCCCCCAAGGGATTAGGCCGTCCCTAGGGGGCACATGCCAAAAAGAGCAGGTCCTTTTGTGCCTCCAGTTAACAAGCTATTTCTTAAAACAGGCAAGAAGGGGGGGGGAAGTGGGGGGGGGGGGGGGGGGGGGGGGGCC